GCTGAGAGGACTGGGTTGAGCTACCCCTAGACAGGCTAAAATATCCATAGTCCAGTGGCACATCAGCCCCATGCTTATGATTTTACTGTCACTGTAGTCCAAGATATACTTCTGCCAGCTTGTAGTCTAAGGGTTAGGTGCAATTTAGTAGTTGTGATGCCACCAGAGCTTTCCAAATAGTGTTGTTTGTTTTTATTAAATAGTCCTTACAAAGATTAATTTTTTAAAATCTTGCATCTCCAGTATTAGAAATCTAAGTGATCATTTAAAAGGAAAAAGCCTTGAAATAAACTTTTTCTTTTGATTTTTTGCATTAATATTTGCTGCCCAAGTGGGGTTAGAAGGCAGAAACCCTTTCTTTTTTGTAATTCAGTATTGCCCTGGGGTTCAAGAAATTACTTCATTACTCTTCCCTAAGGATTTTTTAAGGAAGAGAACAAGAGAGAGAGAGAGAGAGAGAGAAAGGAATTTTGACTACTCGTACATGAGAGCTGTGAATTCCTTTTCAAAGAGGCGATGCTGGTGATGAAACTTCTTGACTATGAAACCTACCAAGTTACGTATTTCTTGTTAGATGATTCCTGTCTGTGTACATACTCTGAGCCACAGTACATCCCTTATTCTTGAATTTGCAATTTAACCTGCTTTTGCAATAAGCCAAGTGATAGTGCACTGCTTCAACTGCTCACTGTGGGTGAAAAGTGTGCATGTATAGTGAAGGGCAGCTGATGTACATTGAGTTAAGTCACACTGTATAAGGAGTGACACATGCATGTCTTGAAAGTCAGTGGGGAAGCACAAGATCACTTGTGATGAAGCAGAGGCTGAAATGTCATGTTTAGCTATGAAGACCACTTATGCTAAGAAGTGAAAGCAAATTTTATTCCAGAAAAAGAGAAAGCATGGATAAAATATGTAGGTCAGAGGGGAAGACTGAAATCATAACAGCTCTTAAGGCTCCCCATTTTTCTCCTTTTTGATTCTCCACTTTCTCATCTCCCAGTCAACCTTCTTTAGCCTCTGGCTAGCTCTACCATAGGACAGTCCTCCTGAGTAAGAGGTTGTGATCATGCTTCTTAGCTCACATGTGGATGTAGAAAACCTTTCCGACCTCTTTGCAAGCAGTTCAGCTGAAGTACTTGGGCGTGCAGTTGGGCAGAAGCATGGGAGTGCTGCAAGGCTCCAACTCATGTCTGTGGGTACAGGCATGACAGCAGTAGTAGGTCCATCAATCTCAGTTCTCTGATGAGAACTGCAGCATCTGTGCAGGAATGGTTTTATTTGCAGTAAACAGAGTTTGTTACTCATCAGTCTCTTCTGTTCTATTTCAGATCTTCTCTGGCCTCTTAGTGAACCTCCCTTCAGTAATGGGCTGGCTGAACTGGCTCAAGTACTTCAGCATCCCCCGATATGGCCTCACTGTGAGTAGAAAGTAGCACTGGTCTCCTCTGAGTAATGTAGCCACACTGCTGCTTCCTGGAGAGGTATTGAGTATAAAGTATGAAGTTTTCTTAAAAGTCAGATTTGGTTTGTTTTGTTGCATGAATTTGGTAAAAAAAAAAAAAAGAACAAACCAGCCAGCCTCAAAAAGGAAGCGAAAGTTAGAACTCTGACAGCTGGAAGTCTCAGACTGAACACTTCGTGCTACAGAATTAGTGCTGCTTGAACAGCAGCAGAGCAAGCTGTCCAGTCAGGCACTAATTCCTAGCCTGAATAGTTGATCCCTGTGGTTTAGAATAAAATCAAATATTGTACAGCCTCTCCAGACAGTATGCGTGTGTAGCCAGTCGGAGGCCAATGACTTTCCAGCTGGTTAAAGGATTTACTATAGTGCATGAGTGTCTCAGTCTTCAGCGTGGCTTCCTGTGAAGTGAAATATGACTTTTCTGAATAGTAAGGAGGTACCAGAAATCTAAGGGTGCAGCTGCTTGAAACACAATAAACAGATAGAGCAGGTCACAGGTGGGAGTTATGTTTGTATCTCCTGTTTGCATCCTGGCCAAGCCTCATTGGGAGGAATAGTGTCCTACTTTGAGTAACAATAACTGAAATGAATGCTGTAGCTGGTGCAAGATGTATGAGACCTCATTGGGTATCACTGAGGTGTTTTATCAGTGTTACTCACTGTGGAAGTGTCCTCTGAGATAGCAGTGAGTGCAGGATGCCAGTGCTGGGTAACCTCTTACCTCTTGCTTTGGCTGACTGTGCCATGCCTTCAGTGTGGTGGTGCTGGGGTGTCTGCATGCAGCCACATGGTTTTCTGGATCAGTAGACTGACCCAGGTGAAAGAGGATGAACAGGAACTTGTAGCTGGCCAGACAGAAACCTGTGGCTAAGTAACTTTGAAGCCAAGGCCTGGGACACCAAACCACCCTGCATGTGGAACTTCGAGCACTTCCTAAGAAAGGCAGTGATTAAGAGCTTGAAAATAAAAAGGAACATGAACATATGGTTCCAAGAATGGGGGTATGTGTTGTCTAATAATCAAGTTCCTTTGAAGTGTTTCAGTTTTAACAACCCAAACCTCAGCAAAAATCTTGTCTGCCTCTTTCCTCAGGCTCTTCAGGTGAATGAGTACAGAGATCTCTACTTCTGTGGTGAGAAGACTTCAAATGCTACAGTGCTTGTGGGAGATACAGGCAGTTGTCCCCCCAATATTTCAGAAGAAATGTAAGTAACTCTTGGTAGTTTTGGGCCTAAATCATGATGACTTGCTTAAAGGGAAGTCTGACTGTGTCAAATTTTTATACTATTCACAGAACAACCACTTACAAGCCAGTCTCAACAACATGTCCCAAAGTAATATATTTTAGGATTACACAGTAAAACTCCACAATTACCCAACAGTGAAGTATGGATGAAACTTTTCTTGTAAAAATAGGCAGATGAGCTTAAGTTTTGTTTTTGATAACCTAGCCCTGATTGATCAGTTTTCCGTAACAAATCCGGGGGCACTTAACAATGGAAATGCAGCGTGTGGACAGCTACAGAGTTGCTGGAAAGCAGTAGACCTAGGATCAGAAACATGCCTCCAGCATAGAACTTAATAACCTCCCTGCAGGTACAGAGAGAGCCAAGGTATCTCTCTCTTGCATTTTGCCCCATTTGAAATACTCCTGGCTATCAATACCTTAAGCTGTAGCAGTGCAACTATTTCGTGACACATACTAGAGAGATGGCAAACTGAGTGTTTTGCAGAGAGCACTGTTTCCACAGCTTTTGGACTTCAAGTGATTGTTGAGGAGAAATTAGTGCTTCTGTACTTACCATGGTTTAAGGTGGTTCTCAGGTTTCCTTATACATTGACAGTTATCTATAAAGAACAATTAGGTTTCTACTGAAAAATTATGACAACTAGAGATCTAGATTTGGTGATGTGTTCTCTATTTCTATCACCTGTTTTGCAGAATTGAGGGTAGAAGGATCTTTGTGAAACAGGAATGAAAGTAATAACCTGAACATGTGTGCCACATAGTAATATGAACTTGTGCCCTGTGCTTTTCTGCAGGTGTTCTGGTGAAGCATACCTTTGCAGCCAAGGAATCGCCCCTACCAGCTGGGCAATGTGGGAAAACATAGTGGCTCTCTTCTGCATGACTGTTATCTTCCTTATTATTGCCTATGCAAAACTCCGGTTTATGAGGAAGTTCACATAGACTCCTGTGTTGCCTTGCCCTGCAGCTTCTCAGGTGTTAAAACTGCAAAGCTTGTTAGGGCCTACTGGAGATTGCCAAAATGTTTCAGCTGACTTTGCTGGACTTCAGATGGGAAACCTGTTCCCCTGTATCTGGAGCATGACCTCCACAGGATTATAGGTTTTAAGAAGAAATGCATTAATGTACATTGTGTAAGTGATTTTTCCTAAGACAATATAATTCTCATAATTCCTTAGGTACATATCAAACTTTATATTGTAAACCATTATTATTCTGTGGCCAGCTTACACACAAAGTATTCCATTGAACATGTGAGCTTCTCCATCACAAAAGGTGGAAGGTGATGGTAGCATTTATGTATTGATATGTTGCCCCTTGTTAGTGCCTGTCACATCTGAGGAAAGATAGAGACCATTCACAATTGTTGGAGATGCATTTGAGTTTGAGGTCAGTACAGAGACCAAGCACTCATGACCAGGAAAGAACAATTATCCTTCTAGTAGCTTCTCAGTGGAAGCTACTTACAGAAACAACTTTAGCTTCACAAAAAACTAAACAGCAGTGGTGTTAGACATCTCACCTAAGAAGAGAGATATATACTGTTGTACTGCAGAAAAAGAAACCAAAAAACTTTCCCCTGCACTGTGAACAGCAAGAAATATATTTACTAAATAGGAGGAGAGGGAATACCCTTTTTCTTTATTTTTTTCTAAATAAAAATTTGTATACTTACTACTGGCAGAAGTTTTTAACAACAGACTCAGTTCTTAGCTGTGCTATCTCTATATAGTGCTACTTACACTATGGACTGAAAAAAACATATAGACACTGTTGTGGCAACTACAGCAACACGTACCTCAGTCCTCACAGGACAGACCATCGCGCTGGTACTTGTCTCCTGACCACCTCATCAGCAACAGAAGAGATACTTTTAAATCGCATTAAGACCTGCAGATGTACGCGGATCACCTAAGCCAAAGGAAAACATGTTCAAACACAGGGCTGAAGAACGTGCCTGTGAGGGTCGGGCTGGCAGCAGCCCCTGAACCGGGCGTGCGGTGTGAGAGTCCTGCCGGCGCCCTTGCAGTGAGCGGTCCGCTTACGGTGGGAAGGGGGAAATGATCGCCCTGACGGCTCAGCCGCATCGAGTACAAACCAGGCGCTCTCGGTTCTGCTTCACTGCCTTTAACAGCTGGTTAAAGTAACCTCGTACCATGTTGTACACCTCGGTATTTGTCTCCTTCCTGCAGCCGCGTCCCCGTAGCGCTGGCACCCCGCTCACCCGCCGTGGCCACCCCTCAGGAGGCGGAGGCTCCGGGGCTCCTCCCTGCGCCGGGCGCGGGGCGGGCCCGGGCCTGGCGCGGCCCGGAGGAGGCGGCTCCGGGAGCTGCTCCGTGCTCATGGCGGCCGCGGCGGAGGGGCCGCCCGAGGCCGGCGCGCAGCCCGCCAAGCGTAAGGGGCCGGAGGACCGGGACTGGGGCGTAGGCCGGGCGTGCCCCGGGGCCGCGGTGCGGGGGGGCCGCGGCGCGGGCAGGAGCTGACGGCAGGAGCTGACGGCGAGCCCGCGGCCTGGCGTGTGCCGGCCGGGCCGTACGCCCGCTCCCGCTGCTGCCCCGGGGCCCGGCCGGGTTCTGCCCGCGCCGCCGCTAAGGTCTCATGAAGCCGAGGGCCTCGGGCAGCATTCGTGTGCGAGCCGGCAAACGCTGCCAAAGGTGGAAAGAGCGGCCTGTAGGGTTGAGGAAGAGCTGCCCGACTGCTCCGGGGAAGGGCCAAACCCGGGCACGTTGTGGTAGAAACGGGTTTGGGGAAGAAGAGAGGGCATTGCCGCTCTCCGCAGGTGGGGATCTGGTGTAGCCCATATGTTGTAGCTGCCCACTGTGGCAGCTGTGCTTCGGTTCCGAGTCAGTGACTAGAAATAAACAGCAGCACCATGCACAGCCGCTGAGAAGTTCTCCCCAAATTGCTTTGCTAAGCACAGTGCTGTCCGGCCGGGGGCCTGTCTCTTGAATGCTCCCTAAAGTATTATTTGGAAATAATGTTGATGCTGCTTCAAAGAAGCTGCCATGGTTTCTTACCCCTTAGTGTAAAGAAGACAGCTTACATGAAAAGTAGCGGTAGGCAGCTTGAAGGGGGAAGAAATGGGACCATTTAATCTTTCTCTTGTGTTTCTGGACACATAGTTTGTCTTAACCCTGTAATGTCTTTACCCTGAGTAGAGGATCCTTCTATTGAAACTGCCGAGGAAGCTAAGGAGCCAGCGGAGGCAGACATCAATGAACTCTGCAAAGACATGTTCAGCAAAATGGCCACTTACTTGACAGGTGAACTGACAGGTAAGGCATTGCAATACTGACCTGCAAGTTCTTTTCACTTAGTTTCAAAGAAATCTGTTGCATAGCTTGTCTGAACTGTAACTGTTTAGATCACATCTGGTTAGATTGGCAGTCCAAACTTGGCATGTTGCTAGGCTGCTAACAACACTAAGATTAGTTGTATTATTTTAACAAAGTCCCAGAATAGCACAAATATTTTTCAGAACAATTGAGTGTGATATCAACAGCTTAAAATAATTCTTTTTTGCCTTGAAGAAGTTTGTACATGGAAAATCAATCTAACTAAAGCCGTCTAGGTTAAGACAGAGTAGGAGGCATATACTACAGGGAGCAGAGTTATTTTTTTCCTGAGACCAAGGCTCATACATATTTTCTAACATTTATACTTTAGAATAAACTGCTGTGCAAAGTTAACTGAAGCAAAATAAACTGCTCACCAAGTTAATGCATTGCATAGGTTGTAATTTTGAAAGCACAGTGCTACCGATTTGCACAGACTTGAAGGATATATGATGCAGATCACCAGTCTGGATTTGTGCTATCAGTTTTGTAAGTGTCTGACTGACAGAATTAAGAGTAGAAATATGAGGACTTAGTAAATTTTTCCCAAAATAAGTTTAGAAGTTAATTCATCAGTGCAGTTGATTTTTGCAATTCACAAAACGACATCTTTTTGTAGAGTGTATACTAATACCTGTATTGCCATCTAAACTGTTGTGCTTTGTTTGGCTATTGGTTTGAAATTGCTTGTCCTCTTGAAGAGTCTGCACACAATTCAAACCACATCACCTTTAATTAAAATAATCTTTTTTTTCTTAAGCTACCAGTGAAGATTACAAACTCTTGGAAAACATGAATAAGCTGACTAGCTTGAAGTACTTAGAAATGAAAGATATTGCTATAAACATAAGTAGAAATCTGAAGGATTTAAACCAAAAGTGTAAGTACACTAAATAAGGTAGGAGTTTAATGAATGGTGGACTTGTTTGGGAAATAAAGCATCTTAGAGTCAGAAGGTTCACACTCCATTAGTGCTTAAGGAAAGAAAACTCATTGATTTAGATGTGTTGCTATACAATACCAGCCTTGTATATTTCTTAACAGTTTTAGATTCTGTAGACTACTGTAAGAGAAAATACATCTGAATTTGTGTCCTGGTTTACCCCAGATTCTGGATCTGAGAGGAATAACACTTCTTTTAATTGATGTTCTCTTGTTACTTTTGTTAGAGACTACGCAGTACTCTTAAACATTGCATATTTTCTTGGAACGTGTCTGTCAGAGTCACCACTTAATTTTGGGGCAGGAGAGGGGACCTTTTGAACTGTCCTATCTGAAGAATGTAGTAAGAAATTCTTGCGTTTCAAGTGTGAACTGTTTCTTGGAAGTTTATTACTGAGAACTAACGATAAAATTTTTATGCTTTTTTAAGATGCTGATCTTCAGCCATATCTGGAACAGATAAACCTAATTGAGGAACAGGTTGCAGCTCTGGAGCAGGCAGCTTATAAATTGGATGCGTATTCAAAAAAACTTGGTAACTATCGTCTTCCACTGTTAAGACCTAGCCGCATAGTGCCTTGCAAGGGGATTTAAAAAGAAAGAAAGAAGGTAAACTCTGTTTTGTTTAACAAATCTGAGCTGCAGAGTTGCCTGTGCTGCTTTTAAGCACAAACATTGCATGTGAAGTGATAAGCATTGAGAAAAGATTAGTGTGATGAGTTATGTTGTGGTGGACTAGTACAGGTGTTATTAAACTATTGGTTATTAGTGAGGCTTGATTTCTTTTTTGTGGTATGCACTGACTTAAGTTTTACAGACTGGTGTTTAACTTGTAAATTGAGGGATTCATAATGTTCCACCAGGCACCCAAGCCCTGTTGGCTTAAATTAATATTATTGTCTGACTTAAGCACCAGGTTCTTAAAAAAATTTACTGTACAATTATATTTGCCTAAATGCATTAGAGAAAAAGGATCTTGAATGTTACAGTAAATTAACTTACAGGATTCAAAGCTTTTACCTACCCAGTACTAAAATACTATTTTTCCTTCTGCAGAAGCCAAGTACAAAAAACTGGAGAAACGATGAAAGTACAACAGAATATAAGTTGGAGTTGGGCAGTGAATCAGACTGATCTCTGGTTTTGCACAACAGCAATTCTGTATGTTGGCAAGGATTTGGTTACAGCTAACATGGAGACTGGGAACTTTTTCCAGCTGTTGAATACAGTAAGCTGTATTCAGGCTTAAGGCTGAATAATATTTTCCTATTCTCAAGGGGTACTGTTCCCTCAGTTCTACAGTGAAAAGTAGAAGCTTGTCCTTAAATCATGTCGATATTGGCTATATGTGTGTTAGTCCTGTTTTCCACATGAAATACTCGCTCTAGGGAAAGTCTTCCATAACCTGTAAAGGCATTTTGCCTTAGTAGCAGCGGGACCTAAACTTCAATTTTTCCTTCATTAAGCTCTGTTTTGGGAAGATACCTGGAACTTTGGACTTAATGGGTGGGGTATTGAAAGCACTTCATTTTGGTATCCCCTTTTATCTGTTTGAAATAGAGAGACTACTTACAAATTTACAATAAACTTGCTGCATTTATTTCTCTGGAACTTCAAATTCTGTTGGAAAGATTGCACAAGCTGTTTTTATTTTTTCAAAGGGGTCTGTTAATAAAGACAAACTCCTTCAAGCTACTAGAGATGGTAGAAGAGAACATGTTTTAAACTCTGCATCAAGTATTCCTGCAATTTTATTCTTTGACTGTCTGGACCTCTGGTAAAATTTCAAGACATATTGACTTATCGCATGCTCAGTTAATTTAGCAGACCCTTTCTCTACTTTGCCAGTGAATTTTGATCCTACTAGTTTTTAAAGTGGCAAGCCTAGCACGAAATCTGCTTTTCTACTAGCTTAACAATGTTCCAAATTGCTTATTTGGAAAAGCCCTTTGTACTGAACAGGTATTCCTCCTGCTCCAAGGATATTTTTTCTGTACCTATTGACTTTAAGTAATTCAAGCTGTTTTTTGAGTAAGTTGCAGTTGAAGACAGTATAAATACTGATACGCAGGAAAGAAGTGGTTCAAACTTCAAGTGTTTAAAGGAATGTCTAGTCAGGTGCCAGTGTGATAAAGATCATCTTGTTGTCAGGCTGTGTACAGCCACTAATTAGTCAGGATGGACACTTTTCCGTAGTGCTCTTTAAAAAAGAGTGAAGTTGATGGCTTTTGAGAGCCTTCACCATCACTTTGAAAATCCTGGGTTTGAAATATAAGTAGCATTTCTGTGCTCACGGTGTTACCTGGCAGGACTGCAGGGGGACACAGGGAGGCGCTGTGTCAGCAGGGAAAACTGATCCCGCAGGAGAGGCACAGTACGAACCATGTCCTGTTCCTGTTGGAAGAGCTGGTTTTTTGTGTATACAAAACACAGTGCCATTTTAAAACTACAAGGATGAAAACCTCCAGGGACTCTGAAGATGGAAATCCTTCTAGCTATGCACTGTCACCAAGTGCTTAGGGTTTTCAGGTAAGAAAGGTAAGAAATAGTTCCTTCACAAACTCTTGAGCTCCAGGAAGCAAAAATTAGAGAAGGGGCTTGTCCCACAATTTACTTTCTTTTTGATAGGAAATTTTAGAGACGGACTTCCTGGCTGGCTGGAGGACTGTCTGACAGAGTCAGCTCAGTTAGGCTGACAGCTATGTTTCCAGTTTCCAGTCTTTGAGTAACTGTTCCCCTCCCTGCCTGAGGGACCTGTCTGTCACTGGTAGAATCCAAATCATGCCAACGATGGCAGGTCCTTGGAGAGTATGCCATAGAAGGGACATAGGTGTGTGTGAACAGCGTTGTACTGGGGAAATGTATAGTCTATCCAAAAGCAAAACCGTGACTTGGTTACTGCTCAGATGTTTCACCTGAAGAATCCCTGAGAAATTCTAGAGGAGGTATAGAAGGAGATTAAATCTCACAGTTCTCCTTTGCAGCATTTTCTGGTGGAAAATTGAGTAAGAAAATAATGGGTTCTTAGAGGGAGGTACAGGAGGAAAACAGAAAAGGGAGGGCTGATGGATGAGAGTCCAGGGCATGATCTGCAAACCACTTTGGAGCTGAAGTAGTTCTTGATGGCTTGGACTGCCACTGCAAACCAGGAGATGAAAATCAGCCTAGCAAATACAACTCTTCTGGCAGAAGCAGAAGAGTTCAGTTTCAGAAGAGAATTCTTTTTTCCCAGCATCTTAAGACAGTTCTGCACAGCTGCTCTAACAGGTTATTCTGAAGTCTTCAAGTTTCAGAGCAGTACTTTGTGGAGATATCCAGTCTTCAGAATCAGGGCACATGGCTTTGGCCCTCCTCTAATCCCAAAGCCCACTTCATACCCATTCCACATGGTGGAGTCTACAGGTGCTAAATCTGTTTTGGTGATCTGCATTGGCTGCCTCCTTGACTTTTCAACATGGAGGAAGATAAGTGGAACAAGAAAGCTGTTCCCTCATTTGTTTTTGCTATTTTAGTCGTGGCACAGCTAGAGGAAGTATAGTGCTTCTTTTTATCTGGTGAGAGGGCTTATTTCTGTGTCTCTTTGCCTTTGCAATGGCATGCTAGTAAAACAGTATATCTAGCTTATTAATTTTTGAAAGGAAGCAAGTTCTCTCTCTTGCACAGAAACAGTTAATGGCATTGTGGTAATATTACAGTTCTGTCTTTTCCCACATAGTACAGATTCAGCTCTCTGTCTTTACTGTAACTATTATATATTATACATTGATGGGAATGTGATCACGACAGGAAATGCCAGCCATTGATCTGTATATATATGCTTGTCAATTGTATATGCAAGTCAATTTCCCGATTGTAACATTGCTGTAGTGATCTTTATGTACTTCATTCATCTAGGAAAAGGCACTAGGGGGATCGTGGTATTATTTAATTTGTCCCTTTTTTCCCCAATGAACAGCTTTGTAACCAGAGTTGGGGTTCTAATAGATCCCATGGGGTCAGTGCAGCTTTATCCCATATTGGGAATGGACATTTATAGGTCATTAGCCAGATCATTCTTCAAGCTATGCTACATTTCATATAAGTGAGTGAAATGAAACAGTCAGATGTGTACAGCATTTGAAAGAGATTTTGGATTATAAGTTTTGTAGACACTGTTTTTTCACTAAAAGATGTTCTGGGATATCAGAAAAACAACAACTCAGTATAGTACTTTTTTATTTTGCAATATAAATTGTAATTTCACATACCTTCTTTGTAATCACACAGAGGATGACCCATCTGCCCAGTCATTGATAAAGTCTATCCCCACCACAGTAGACAGTAAGCACTGGGGCAAGAATACAATAGATGATCATTATCTATCACAAAAAAACCCTCAGTGTTTTATGTTTGCCTTTACAAATAGATTAAAAACAAACAAACAAAGAGAGGTACTTCAAGCAGAGTTTGTCAAAACCCTGGAGTACAAGCATCTGCTCTTGCTGGAAGCCCTCAGGTAATAGAGACAGCAGCAGCAGGGTTCTCAGAGAACTAGTGACGACAGCCTGGCATGTCAGGAGCCAGAGCTGGGTGAGGTAGATGCAGAGAAGAATCTGTGAAATATTGCAAAGGGAGCTGTGTCCTTCCCTGTGTGATTGCCTACTCAACATGTTAAGAGCTGGCTGTGGTGATTATAAAAGCACCAAACTATTTTATTTTCTAAGCACTCTTCTCTCCATAAAGTATCTACCAAATGGTCTTGAGTGTTTCCTTCTCAACAGATTGGGGAATGATTCATTCAACCAGAGCACTAGTGAGTTTGGGAGCTGGAATCTCTCTTCACTTGCCTAACGTGGAACAAAAGAGACCTCATACTGTCGGGGCAAACTTGCCATACTGGTGATTACTGGGCTAATGTCAATGTCTTTGTGATCCATAACAGGCTTCAAAGTAAAGTTCTGCAGTATGGATGTTAAAAATATGAATAGCTCCATCCGGGCCAGACCTTCTCCTGCACAGACACGTTTTCCTACAAGCAAAAAAAGAAAGAGGTGACAATGGAGTATTCTGCTGATACCTGATTTTAACCACAGTTCCATGAAAGTTCAGACATCTCAGAATGCACAGGCAACACTGCAGTATTTTGGGGAAGCACAAATTAAACTAGGAACTAAAGGTCTAGAACAATGAGAGCACTCAGTGTGTAAAGGCTGTTCTGCTGCTGTTTGATGGTTTGAGAGACAAGTTGCATGGCTGAGTCTCACTTCATATACATCTTGGAGAAGGCATTGCAGGAGCTTTTGTGTTTGCTAAAAAAGGAAGTCAACTGGATCTCTAGTGCAGGGGTTAGAGCTGCCCAGAAGTGACTCCAGCAGATGTCACCTGACATCACTGTACAGACAGTGGTGATGGAGCCATGAAATCTTCAGATTTCAGGAGAGGATGGTCTAGGATCTGAAATAGCAAGAGGTCTTACCTGTAGAAAATGGCAGGAAGTAGTCACTCTTTTTAAAGGTACCATCTGCATTCAAGAAATGTCCTGGGTCAAACTTTTCTGGATTTGGAAATTCCTTGCTATCATGTAGGACAGAACTTAGCATAGGGAATATAATAGTGTCCTGAATTAACAAAAAAGAAAGGTACAATGGAGATATGTTAAAGCAAGGAGGCACTAAGAAGTTCCCAGAGCTAAACAGAAGGGTAGTCAAAGTTTAACCAGTTTTAAATGAACATTTAATATGTGAAAATACATGCCATTGGTATGGCAAAGATTTTTTTTTAGTGAATTTTAATAGTGAGTCTGTTAAAAGTACTTAATATTACTTCCAAATAAATTACAACTTACATTGATGTAAAACAAAAAAGAAATATTTCCCTCTTCATACAGAGGATGAAAAAGTATTTTATTCTTTTTTTTCTAATACAAGGGGTTGGACTCAATAACTTCCAGAATCCCCCTAAAAAAAGTTAAATTCAATATCACATTTCAATGCTTTTGAAAATAAATAAAATATAAAGAACAAAACTCATCATCGTTTTCAAGAGATTATGACCTTTCTCAGACACAGTGGAACAGACCTTGGGGATAAAATAGCCTCTGAAGATGGTGTCTCTGATTACAGCATGTGGGACATTAATAGGAAGGAAATCAATGTATCTCTGCACTTCATGGATCACAGCATCTGTAAAGGGCATCCGGCTCCGATCTGACGCGCAGGGGCTTCGGTCTCGGCCAATCACAGAATCAATCTCCTTTTGCATTTTCTCTGTTAAGAAATCAGTAAATGTTGAATGAACAAGTAGCCCATCTGTTTGCCTGAACCTCTTTCCATATTTACTACAAGATTTGCTTTTAGCACACCAGGAAGATATGAATATACTTACTACTAACATCTGCTTCCCGTGAAGATAACTAAGACTTTTACACATTTCCACACTGCAAAATATTTCCTGATCCCACAACCTATTAAAAAGTTTTAAACTATTTATTTCCATTACCTACTATCTCTGGGTATTTGTGGAGAATCAGAATTGCAAATCTCAACGTGATGCTTGTGGTCCCAGTTCCGGCAAGGAACAAGTCAAGTGTGGTCTTCGTCAAGGTCTCAGTGGTGAATTTTGTGTCAACATTCCCTTTCTCCTGCAGGAAGATTTTGCAGAAGGTTTTGAATGACAAAGCGAAGAAGTATGTTTAAAAAGAAAAATCCTGTACCCATA